AAAGAAAAACAAGTGCACAAATGGTTTCAAAAAATAATGACATTAAATACAAAGTGTAAGATCCATTTTTTAATTCAGCAGTGCTTAGTTCTCCATAATACTTTTGGAAATGCCCATATTTTTAAAAGCATCTGTTCTTTTGATTTACCTGTTACTTCCAGTTGAAATTTTTTAAGTAGCTCTACTTGAGTCAGTTGAGTGAAGGACCTCTAGAAGAAGGAAAAAAAAAACAACCCTATATGCACTTAATGAGCAACAAAGTTAGTGATCTGTAGCAATTACCCAAGTGAGTAATTTTGTTTCATTAATACACCCTAAAGCACCAAGCTGCTTTGTCAATGGGCACTGCAGGGCCATTGCAAAGCTCAAAGAGACAGTTACGTTACCAACCGCGGTGTAAGGGATAGGTTTACCAACAAGGAGGGAGAGAGAAAGTAGCTCAGCGGAAGAAGAAAATTAAAGACCATCTATTATTGTCACAGAAGCCAATGGCAATACTTGTAAAGACTCTAGCAGAGCAGGGTCACACATCATTTTTTTCTGGCTTTTCCAACTTCCAGTTTCTTGGTTGCTGTTGGGTTTTGGTTTGTTTTTTTTTTTTTAAGAGGGCATCTTGATGCACGTAGCATCTCAGTTGGAAAGGGGAAAGAGGGCATGTACCTGGCTTGCTTGAATCCTTCTCCAAGGAAAGTAAAAAAGCAGATAGCAGAAACGTAGGCAAAGCTGTATTACAACTTCTGGGCATCTCTAGATCACTCAGTATGGGACACACACAGTATATGATATATTAAGGTGAAGTATTGAATATCCATAAAGGAGTACTAACAAATGGTGTTGATTTTCAAACACTTTGCTTTGTCAGCTTCACAAATTTAAAATCAATCATCAAGAAGTCTCTGTATAGATCAGCTGAAGAGACATAAAACCTTATGGTTACCTCCTTGACAAAAAAGTTGAAATTAAAGATGAGTTTATAAAGACTCAGACTGGCAGAATTCTGTAGTGCTAAAAACTGGGGCCATCCAACCTCTCAGTTTAGAAATAGATGCTGAGGAAAAACAATGACACCCAGTGCACTGCTAATAAATACATCTTGGAGGACAGTTGAACACGCAGAAAAATAGATTTCACAGAGAGGCTTATTTTCAGCATGAATGCCATTTTCTCACTACGTTTTCATAAACATGAGAGAAAAAACAGCTATAAATAAAAAATTCTTGGGCAGTCCCTGGAGACTTGTCAAAAATACGTAGTTTTTGTATGCCGCAGTGTAAAAGTATTCATTAAAATTAATTTTTAAAATGCCCTGTCCAATATTAGTTGCCTCATGTCCTTCCTTTGATCATAAATTATAAATGAACTGGCAAAAAATGAAGAAACCATGATTCCATTAATGAATTATTTAAGTGTGATTGTTAGTTTTCACAATCATTGGGCTAATAAGCTCAGGCTTGTGACAGTGAAGAGTTTCTCTTTTGAGGGTGATGATGATGGTAATGTTATTACCACCATTATCAGTGTGTCCTGTGAAGCATAAACCCAAGTGGCTCCTTTGGCGGCTACATGGTGGCATGGCCACTGGAGCTTTCATTGGCTCTGTACTGCAGGACAGGGAATTGACACTGGGTTTGCTGGGTGGCTCCCCCCAAGGCAACACTTCAAAAAAGACAAACAGCATACTGACACGAGAGGGTCTTCTTCCCGCAGCAGCCTGCCAGTGCCGGCGGCACACGCAACCGGCTTGGCCCATTCCAGCGGCGGCTCCGGGAGCTCCAGTGAGTCCGAGAGCAGCTCTGAGTCTGACTCCGACAGCGAGAGCAGCTCCAGTGACAGCGAGTGCAACGAGGAGTCCCGCAGTGCCACGCCGGAGGTAAAGCCACACTCTCAGCTCCTTCCCAGTGGGTGCTCGAAGGAGAAAGTGTGAAAGGGGGAGAAATCCTGCTCCCTGTTAGGAAAACGTTGGAGTTCTGTGCTGTTTGATGCTGTCGACTTTTTTCTCCCTTTTACAGTTTTACGTATATGACCCACATACTCATTCTAGCTTTTGGAAGAATCCTTCTGGCCTACATTTGAATTGCTTTAAAGAAATATTTAGATTTTTGCCAGTAGCTAGAGAAGATTTTATTGACACAGTACTCAGCTGGGACTAAGGAAAGGCAACATGACAAAACTATGTCTTCAGGGACCAGCTAAACTTTTTAGTTGTATTAAATTTCTCCAGGGCCACATTGTAAACCAGATAAGGAAGCCTAATTAACCATAAATACTCCATAAATACTCCCATAAAACTAGTAGTCACCACTAGTTGACTGAAATAAAAGGGTACGCTAAAAACGTTCTTATTTAAAGGGAAAAGCATTGCTTCTGTCTGAGGTTTGTTCCTTGTCATTCTTCGAACTGCAGCCTGAACCTCCCTCCACAAACAAATGGCAGCTGGATAAATGGCTAAATAAAGTGAACCCCCACAACAAGACCATCATCAACAATCAAAATGAGCCTCACAGCGAGACCAGCTCCCAGGCCCAGAGCAACCAGCAGGCCGAAGGGCCAAACAAAGGGAAGCTCAACAGCAGCCTGCCCCCGACCGATTCCAAAGACCGGGCGATCCTTAGTCCCATCCGAGAGAAAGCCAAACCGCGGGTTGCTCAGAAAACCCCAGAGGCAAAAAGCTCCAAGCAGAAGTCACCAGCTCATAATGAGCCAACTTCACAAAGGACTACTGGGAAAAAGCAACCCAAAAAGGTAGAAAGGACTTCCAGTGTAGAAGAGTATAACTGGCCCAAACCAAATAATACCAGCAACACTCCCAAAGAAAAAGACACACAGGAACCCCCTGAGCAGCCAAAGGTTCGAACTAAAGCAGCAGTTGGGAAGACCGCTCCAAGGAAAGAACCACGCACTAGCACAGGTCTCACTTCAGAGAAGAAAAAGTACAGAGGTCCCAGCAAAATTGTCCCTAAGTCCCGGGAATTCATTGAAACAGATTCATCTACTTCTGACTCGAATACGGACCAGGAGGAGAGCTTGCAGGCTAAGGTACTGCCAGCTTGCGCTGGGTCTGGCAATGGTGTCAAAGTGAAGGACTCTGGCAGTAACATCCTCAGCGTAAGTAGTTTAACTAGCAATGGCAGCAACACATCCATTGACCAGACCAGCAATGACTTGGAGGAGCAGCTCTTTTCTCCTATCCCAATCGTGCAAAATGAACTTCTGTCCCCACTGAGAGAATATGAAGAGCTCAAATCTCTGTGGGTGAAAATAGACCTTAGTTTGCTCTCTAGGATACCTGGACAAGAGCCTTTTGAGACCACGTCTGTGAAAAGTGAACCAAGAGAGGCAAACGTGAAACACAGGCGACCTTCTCGAGAGTCCCCTACCCCAGCAGCTGAAAAACCATCCACAAAATCCAAAAGGAAACACAAGGTAAGTCATTTTCATCATTTGGAGGAAAACGCTGAATTTCTCTGCGTCCTCAAGGTCAGGACCGGAGTCAGTGATTCCTCACTGCACCTGCAGCAGGGCTGTAAGGAGGCGTCGTAACACTAAGGCTTTATTGTTTTTTACAAAGGACATACACATACAAGTGCATTACAAATTAACATCAGAAACTAGCAAAAACCAAACTCCAGCTGACAAAATCGATGAACAATGTATTTTTTTGAGATTTATCCGACAAGATTTTTCACTGCATTTGCTTGCTTACTTAGTGGCCTGTAATCTGCAGAAGGATTCCCAATGATGAATTTGTATTGCTACGGGTTCAGCCACACTCAGAAAATGTGGCTTCTATTTGGAAGGCAGGGTTTTATTGTCTGCAGAATTAAGGCATTCTCACCCCTGGCTTAAACAGGCGTAGCTTCATTAAAGTCGATGGAATTGTGCTTGCTTATGCTCCTGGTGAAGTTAGTCTTTATATTGTTTTGTTGTATAAACAAATGTGATTCATGGAAATGTCATTTGCTTAGCTAGCTGCTTCCTCTACACAGCTACCTGAAAAAAGCAAATATATTTTCACTTAAGGCGTTATGTTTTATCATGTGTTTTATGTTATTTATGCCCAAGGGTATCCTATCTTGTGGGATATGACAGTGCACTTCAAAGTAAATGTGTTTTCAGAAAAGAAACTGAAGTTTTATATCAGAAATGAATTTTTGCAGTCGGTTTTTCCAGCCAAAAAGGTTGTGCTCTAGTCTGTCTGTGAGAAGTCATGACAGGGTATTTTTTTGTATCCCAAATTTTAGATATCGTTGTGAATGTGACTTCAGCTGACTGTTCTAGTGGACTTCTTGAAATCCTGAGTTTGAGCAGTCCAGTGGTACGAGAGAGTTAATATCAGACAAAGGCAGACAATGCCAGGCAGACACAGGGTCTGCACCCCTGCCTACATGAGTCACTGCACTGGCTCCTTCCCTGTTGAATTAAGTGGAAATAATCACATGAGTAAACTCAGCAGGTTTTTATTCAGTTTAGATTCTAGCTGTATGCTAAGGGCAGAGATGTAAAATAAAAGGAGAGAAAAAGTAAGAGGAAAGATATGTTTAAATGTCCGTGCTTATGTGTATGTATAAGTACACCAGCTTGTATATTAATTATACAAAAAACCTTTGTGCTAGGTAACTTAGTGGAATGTCAGTATGATGGAGAAGGAATCTTGGCTAAAACATGAGTATAGTATTGACAACTAAACTGAGGGCTCCCAGGAGGAAAACAAAAAGAAGGGTTATATGAAAGTTGGAACCTCATAGTTTCATTAGTTGGGACTTTGAATCAGAAAGTAACAAAATGAGGAATCTCGCTCTGGGACTGTACGGACATGAGGTACGCTCTGAAACTGCCCGTTCAGTTCTGTGTGATTGTTCACTGTTACCCATGGGGAAACAAGCCAGTTAGGGTGACTTGAGGGTGTATCAACAGTTAAAACAGGGTAGGGAGAGCCTGATTTGTGTTGCTAAATCACACTATTAAAAGATCACCTTATAGCGGTCTTCCAGTACCTCAAGGGGGCCTACAAGAAAGATGGGGAGAGGCTGTTCAGGAGGGCCAGTTGTGATAGGACAAGGGGTAATGGTTTTAAAATAGAGGGAGGTAGATTCAGGCTGGATATTAGGAAAAAATTTTTTACCATGAGAGTTGTAGAACACTGGAACAGGTTGCCCAGAGAGGTGGTGGATGCTCCATCCCTGGAGACGTTCAAGGCCCGGTTGGATGAGGCCCTGAGCAACCTGATCTAGTTGGAGATATCCCTGTTCCTTGCAGGGGGGTTGGACTAGATGACCTTTGAAGGTCCCTTCCAGCCCTAACAATTCTATGATTCTATGATTCTATGATTTATTTTAGCCATCTACTAGTGGGCTTGAAGGCTGATAGAAGGTTCCAGTGACAGAGCAGCAATCAGCTTTGCTTGTATCATCCTAGTTCAGGCACAAAAGTCATGCATCAGGGAATCTTTCACAGCAAACTTTAAACCAGCCATTGCTGTTAATGACTACCCCAGCTCAGCCCTGTAGTCTTTTAGTCCTGTGAGGAATACTTACTCAGGAAAGTTTTCCCATCAACTTCCATTAAGTCAATGAGTAAAAGCTATTTACTTGAGTAAGATTTGGTGCTATCAAGTCATTCCATCTGAATTATTAATTAAATTCCAGTGCACCACAGAAGATAGCTATAGCACATGAGGCGTTTTGCTTCCTAATTATCTGGCTATGTCACTTGTTATAGAACTTCATGTCGTGTGTTTGGAGCACATTTAGCCCTGATTTCGAGTGACTTTCACTTCTCTTAGACCAGTGTTTTAACTGCTGCTACTGTAAAGGAAATACACTAAGATTCCTGAGCTCCTCTTAATGGCGAGTGAAATTGTGCGTAGATGCTGGATCTTTCAAGCTCTACCTTTTTTGTTAAAGCAGACGGAAAGCCTGGATACTTTTGTTGAAAACAAGAAGCAGCGCCTGGAGGACCCTTCAGCTTCATGCCTGCTCCCACCCTGTATCTCTCCGATACCAAATCACAGATTAACCAGCACTAAAGAGTAAGTTCTTTTTTTCACATAACATTCATGAGGGTTTTCACAGTACTGTTCTACAAATGTCTTTGCTGTAGAGCCAGATTGGCTTTACAGCCCATAAGCATAAGTGACCCAGCATTGCTATTCCCATCCATCAGGAGGAGAATCCACATGGTTTTGGATGAGATTCGTTCATCTTTCTGATGGGCTACAAGAATTGAGTGCCACCACAATCCTGGTGTACTCTTCTACCCTCATACTGCATCCTTTCAATGTTCTTTCTTGCTCCAATCATCCTTAACCTCTGTGGCCAGAGAATCCTACTAAAAGTGGGCTTTATTTGATTGCTTGGAATTTATTTTTTTAAATTGTTTTTATAAGATACACTTCTTAGTTTTATTGAACAAAATAGCGACTTTGCCATTCACTTCATCGGCTCTTATTCTTTAACTGTGCATACAGCAATGCCAGGGGTGACCATCCTAAATTTTTCCGACATACATGCTTTGTATTTCAGCAGACATATAATCAAATAGTTTGTGCCTTTCAGAGTGTCTTTGAGAGATGACTATAATGCCTGAGCAAACAGGCACCACGTAAATAATGATTCTGATTAATATAATCACAAGATTAACATTCTATAAATAACCAAAGAGTCCAATTCCCTTCTGTCATCAATTTTGGGCTTTTACAATTTTGAGATGAGGCACTTCTTTCTGCTTCGCACTAGGACAAGCAAAGAATCAAACCTGCAATGTGCTTCTGAAAACAATTCGACTGTAGTAGCATTTAAATTTAGATAAAGTTCAAAAATCATTTGTGAAATTGCACACAAACTTTAAAATCCATAAAGAATGTTGAGCATCATTTTATTTATACTAGTGTAATTACGGAGTAGCTTCAGTCCTTGAACTAACCCCTCATTCTACCACTGAGAAAATCAGAGTTGGAGTCTAGAAAAGGCATATGAGTTGAAAGTTACAATGTGATCTGTAACATGTTGCACATTTAATAAACATCATGATGGGTGTTGCCTGATTGTCATTGCTAGAAATACAATGAGCAGAGATATATTGCAGAGGGAATCAAGGATTATCCATCCCCAACACCTCCACAATCCATTAAAAAAATCTTTCTATTCTTGTTGCCAGCAAGCCCTAAGGATCCACCCCCAACCTGATGTTTCTTAATTTGAGCTTGTTTTCCAGGTCATTAATTTGATTCCTCAGAGCTTTCAAGCCTTTGGTATTCTCTGTTAAATATAATTGTGTCCATCGATAGTTATTTCCATAAGCTAGCTTTTCCTTTTGTCTGCCTAAGTTTTAAAACAAAATTTTCTGACTTCCTTTCCTCTGCAGTCATTGAGACCTGGATCACATTGTAGTTGTTATTAGTGTCTTCTGAGTTCGTTTGAAATAAATGCAGTATTGTTTGATACTTCAGGCCTTCAACTCTCAGAGATGTGCAACTGAATATAGATCAACGTATTTCCCAAAAGATTAGGGAGCCAGCTGAACTGTGTGATGACGAATTTCTGGAGAGCCCCAGATTGTTTTTAAGCAGTCAGGAGTGGTTCCATTCTCCAGAGGGTCCAGTAGACTTTTAAGGGGAGGCAGAAGAAAGGGGGAGCTGAAAGCACGCTGTTCAAGGGCGTGGGAGAAAATAACATTTCAGTGGTGAAAGGTTGAAAGACAGGCTTTGCCATTTGCTCCTTTATTCCCAAAGGTTCTACGTTTTCTTTCAGAACTCTTAAGTCTCTACATAAGTACTTTGAGAAATGAGGGTGATTCAGCTACAGTTGTGGTGATGATGTTCATCCATTCAGAAGGTGTAACTTCCCGTGGTGGATGTTCTCACTCAGGAGGAACCTTAGGTCTTTCCCATTAGAACTTGATCCCTGTGCCACCAAGCCAAGTTCCCCAAGGCAGACTTCAGAGACTTTCATTGGGCTTTTCATACATGCAAGAGTGTTTTGACAGAAAGATCGTGATCTCTGGACCAAAATTGGGAGGCATTCAGGAGTCTGAAGGAATTGGTGAAAGATAGGCCACACCCGTGCTTTGGCAGCTCCCACTGGCTGCCTATCTATGGTTTAGGCATTTGATT